CTTGCACCACACCATGTACGGATGTATCACAGCTATTCTTATAAGATGTAGGTGTATTCGTTTTGAGCAAGTAAAGAAATTGACTTGGGGGCAGGGTTAAACCCCCCCCCCCTCCGTGGGCTACCGCCCCTGGCCCTTTTTGGTCTCACAATCAATGAATGGCCCAGGAAAACAATGGGTATTGGGCGTACCTATTTGTTTTTATCATGAGAATATAGCATGCTTCAAATGTTTTTTAAAGCCGTCCGTGTCCCTATAAACACAAAACAGCTACAGACTGCCATTAAACCTCGGATGTACTTCACTAAAAGCAACGCCCACAGTAGCAACAATTTTCATATCATTACTGCAGAATTTATTAGTGGCTGAGAGCTTCGTTTTTAATCATCTGCCATTTCAGGTCGAGAAACGATTGAATACAATCCACAACTCTTCATCAGTGAATAACGATCGCGCGACCGTCCAATTTATTACCAGGTGCACGGGAATCGTTCGGGCCGGAGGAGTTACGCACAGACGAAACGGATGTCCGTGAGTGGCGAAATGCGCCATAGCTAGGTCTATGCAGCGTTTGCCTTTTCAAGCGGGAGGGGCAGCACGAGATATGCTCACGCTGGTATGTAGATGGATGTTTATCAAGGATAGACGTGATTTGATGAAGGGGGTGATGTCATCAAACCCAGAACATTTGTAGTTGCGTCGCAACACAAATACTGGCGGACCTATTTGTGGATGATCAAGCCGCTCAAAGGTACGATTTTTAACTAAATGTTTGCGTGATGTGTTTCTGGATAGCGCTCGTGAAATTCTAGGCAAAGCTAGACAAAGGGCTTGCAAATATGTATACTTGCTTTTTTTCACCGTTTTTCTTCTTGTTATTGGTGGCAGTGGCGCAGCTAGGATTTTACTTGTGGGGGCACAAAGGGGGCAACAGCATCTTATGGGGGCACCAGCTTTAATTGGTGTGGTTTTTGGGGCAATCTTTTGTTAGGCTTGTTCAATATCCATTCATCCGTTTTTTTTCAGTGGGGGGGGCACCGGGAATTTGTGGGGGAGGGGCTTTCGCCCGGGCCCCCCTCCTCGGCTACGCCACTGGTTAGTGGTCAGAGAATATGGCTTTCTTTGGTTATTTCTAATTACATGTATTTGTATATCCCGTTGCTTTGATTGTATTGGTTTTCACAAACAGCTTATTTCGGGGTTCAGTTATATTATATTGAGATACAAATTGCGATACGCAGCTTTTTGAATCGGGTTGAGAAAAATGGGACTGCAAAGGTACAAATTATTTCAAGAGGTGGCAAGATGGATTGCTCCATTCCACGACGTGAATGGATTATTTCATCTGTCACCGAATAAAATCATTTTCACTGCAATACCCGAATGGAAACCGCCTAAAATAATTCATGCCTGTACCCCCTACGAATTTAAACATATCGGGTGATTTGGGAAGTTTTGCGATAGGCCTCACACCCTGGATTGGGATAGGTCAGTCACTGCCACGTGATCAACGGCCCACCAATCAAATAACGGAGATTGGTTTAAGCACTTCATTAGATGAATATCATACAACTTGGCATCCACGACGCGCTACAGTGTTGTGACTTCAAAATCTGCTCAACTCGAGAAACATCATTAATCACCTTACTTATCGCTAGATTCTGAAACACGGCACAAAGGGCTTGTACGGGGATTGCAGATAGTCAATTTATTATGTACAGCGTCATATCCTTTATCAAGACTGTTGTTAACTAGGATCGCCATTTTTCCAATAAACTGACGGGCAAAAGTCCACAAGCTGCTGTCTGTCGTGATGGTTCAAGTGGCACAGTATGCAACGAGAACCTTGTATAGTGATGTCGTATATCTTGGTATCCTGACTATACCCCACACGTTACTTTGTTGCGTAAAGCTGAACATTGTATTGAGCAGTTCTGTCATTCATGTGCAAGTTAAGTCATTCATTAAGAATGGCCAGCGAATAATATTGGACTAACTAGAGTATTTCGCGTTTGTTTGCCACCGCACAAGGTAAGGTATAGTGTTGGAAATGGGTAACAATTTTGGACCCCCGTGAACGGGAGACACACACCCTCATACATTTACCACTTGCAGACTTTTTTTTCTTTAAATTTCGTAAATTAACGGGAGAGTATAGAAGCAATTGGTGCCAACGAGCTGCCGTAAAGTGTTCGGTCAGCACAGTTATTATGTATGAGTGTTAATTTGCCTCTTATATTTTACGGGAAATCGTGGGCACCAATGACTGCCATTTTCTACAAATTTGTAGTATTTTTGTATATATATTTGTAGTAACCTACTATATCCCGAATAATGTCTGTCTCTGCCTACAATCATGGGCCCTATGTGACTTTGATTATGTTGATTATATTGCTGCTGAGGACTGTATCGCGGTCCCAATATATGAAAGTGTGCGGTTTACTGGGTCTGTTGTTATTCTAGCACACCGTACAGTTTTCACGACCGTACAAACCGTCGCTCTAGTGAGGTACATTGCCGTGTTCGCATCTTATTAAAAATGATAACACCAAGCACAGAATATTGTTTTCTTTTCAGTTCTTAGGTGCTAGGAGTGGGTTTAAAGACGAAAGTACATACTCATGAGGATTATGAAAGAAAGGACGGTCCCTACCTGTATCAATGAGCATTATTTTGAGATTAATTTCCTGCAGGCTTTGTTGGCTAATTGTGCAGCAGACATGTTGATAATCCGTTGCTGTGATACCACCAATTCAATCTGAGATCTGGCTCAACTCTCGAGTCTCCCGTTAAGTTCTGGCATAATCAATTCGGAAATTCATTGGAATCAATTTGGATATTCACTGGAATCAATTCGGATATTCACTGCAATCAATTCGGATATTCACTGCAATCAATTCGGATATTCACTGCACTGCAACCAATTCGGATATTTACTGGAATACGGGCCAGGCACTTTTAAAGTTGTCGTGAGGCATTTTCGTCAACAGCGTGCGCAAAAACCCTGCCGTGCTTTAAACTACTGGAGCACGGGAAGCGGATCACCAAGCATTCCTCTAAACAGGGGAAGATACGTGTCCAGCTAATCCTAGCAATTGCACTGTGAAGTCCTGTGAAATACAAGTGCCGTGTTTTACCTTTAAATTCTAGCTTGGGGCGAGCTTTTAAAAAAGTATTAAACCAGCAATAATTTTCCATCGGCATCACCACTTGTTGAACATTTTTGAAGAAAAATGCATTAGTTTTCCTGTAAATGATGTCATATTTTTATGCTATTCCTCCACAATATCCACGACAATAATTGATTCTGAATTTATTATTTCAGATGTATTTCTAAAGGTAAAAGCGACCGGATAAAGCTGTGCACCTGTTCTTCGTGCGCTTCACCTTCAATGAACACCTGTCAATCACGATTCCTTTCAACCACTCCATTATTCATTCGAAAGTGTTTAATGTTGACTCCTTAGAAGAATCAGTGTGGTCTTACCACCGTCTTCCTGCATTCTGAGGATTTTCCGATCGATGGGAAGCTAGAAGAAACAATGCAAAGATGAATCAAAGTTTGCTCAGTTTGCTCATGAGAATCTGTGACTGTTTGATGGTGTGTCGCGATACAGAACATATTGGGGAATTTTCTTGCATCAGAGCCTCTATATAGGCGCTCAGTAAAAAGTTGGAAGATGAAACAGTCGTCTGCCTGTTGATGGAAAGATCGTGTTACCACTCCCGAAAAGTGGCAAATATTTACCGAAAACCGCCAGTGAAAGGAAAACTCGAGCGTCACCAAAAATGTTGCCGGCGAGAGTAACTTTAATTAAACCGAGGAGCACAGCCCGTGTTGATTCATGAATATACCGGCTTCATCAGCCAGTTCGTTCGTTAACAACTCCACACCTGACGCGTGCGCTTGTCGAGAACACTCGTGTTTTTATTTTCTTCAGAGAGAAATGAGTACCATTTAAATTCAGCTAGAGTGTCTCATTTTTGCACTTGAAATTCGGCCCTTTTCCGCAAAGGCGATTGCGCTTGGTGCAGGTAAGTGATATTCAGTATTGAATTAAGGGATTGCAGATACACTGGGTAGATGTTTCTGACCTGTACTCACTGTGTGTTCCTGACACCAGCAATAGCCACAACTTGCTACCGTTCTTTGTACAAAAAAATAAGCACTGGTATGACAAGGAGTGATGCAATATTCTGAGCTTCCTTTACGTTTTCTAACTATTCAGGCAAGGGTTCATGCGAGATATAAGCTTGTCCAGTTCTTGGTGGTGGAGTTTTCAAACCCATTCGGATCAAGCTACAAGGCCATGTCCAAGTCTTGTGTCTAGAGCTGAGTCTAAGTCATAGCCATGCAGTTGCAAATACGTGGTGGACACGTAGGGCCTAAACGTAGCTCTAGAAGCTCATTTCAGAAACAGTAAGACACGGCCTAATAGTTACCTACCCTGAACTAAATTTCATCCTCCAAACCAACACATAAACTGTGCGGTTGCCGTTCATTGTATTATGTTGACGATTGCGTTTCTATTTTCTACAGCATATTGACACTGGCGATCGGCTCGACTGAGGCAATGCATGGTCTGTTTCAACACAACGGATAATCCCCTCCAATTCATCCCGAATGCCAAGGAACGAGTACCTACAAAGTGTCATGGCAACTTTATGACTGAGTGTGTCTGGCATTCTCTGGTCAAGAATGACGTAAACATTTGAAGTACTGCCTGTGAGGTAGTGTTTCGGTACAGTCTGCACGCGGTTGTCTGTGAAATGCGTTGACGGTGAGAAGTTTTTCGATTCGTAACATCAAACAGAAATGGATTTTGTTGATGCAGGACCAGACGAAACTGGTCGCAAACAAGTGAATGGGTCAAAATCAAGGCATGCTATGTCGCTAATAGCAAAGCCTCAGGCTCAACTTGAGCAGGTACATGACGGCACTTTCTCATCAGATGATGAGAAACATGGCTGTGCTAGCAGCCATCTGGAGCAGGTCACGTGTACTGGGGTGCAGGTGAGTTACCCGAAAGGACCAGGGCGAGATTTTCATTCAAGGCTGACGACAAGGACATTTCTGGAACCTGAAAATGGAGAGGGGAGTTCGAGTGGGACGGGCCTACGGTTGCCGTCAACGCGTGTGACCGTCTACCCGCAGCGGGACATCATCAGCTCATTGAAGGGGAGACGGGACTTCTCCCTCCCCAGGCTCGACGTCCTTAAGGTGCAGCTGGAAACCCGCGGGACTGACGAGGAATACAGTAACTCACCCAGGTCGCTCTCAGTCTCGAGCTCCGCTTGGCTGCCAGCGTGTTGGGGTCTCGGACGGACGCATAGCGCGGATTCGTATTTCCAACAAGGAAGGCGGCACGCGGAGCGAGGTGGGCATTTCGAAACACGCGCGCAAATGGAGCGGGCTTTCAACACGTACGTGAAATCGAAGTCACAGCCACCGGAGCCACCAGGTAGACCCAACACAACCACGTCTAGCTCCAGGCAAGCCTCTGCGTCTTCGAACCGCGGCGACGCTACGGCGGGTAAAACCGGGACATTGACTTGGTATAGCGCCCCCAATCGACAGAGAGTGGTTCGTAAATCGCCTCCATGGCGATCGTTGATGAACAGGCGCCCTCGCGGTGTGCGTGCAGATAACACCAACTTGTGCCCCTACCATTGTCGTTGTTGCTTCAACGAAGTGAATGATATCGAAAGCACTACCATCTATAAAATGGACCTTGGAGCTCTGTAATAACTCTCTAAATTCCAACTTGTGAAAACTCACTCCGTTTGAAACTACTGAAACAAGGGACTAGACGAATCTGAGTGAAATTTATTCACTTGAATATTGGAGATTTTATTCGAGTTCTAACTTGAGCAGATCTTCTCGACTCTATCCCAATTTAAATTTATAGTCAGTCAGTGCAGTATTCCATCGGCGCGAGCCCAAAATGAAACGCTTCCGAGGTTATTAGGGAACATCAATTTGCAAGGTCTGTCCTGCACCCACTCACTCGCGTGCTTTGCTCTCGAATGACCTTGCCTTTTGGAAATACCGAACCGGCTCATTGGTCTAGTCCCTAGTTTCAGTCTTTGGAAGTAAGGGGGAAATGTTACATAGTTCACGTTGGAAATGAACTTATAAACGTTTCATTCAAGGGTAAATTTGAGCAAGAATGACAGATGGCCACATGTTTCGTATCAAAGGGAGAAATTTGCCAAAGTTTAGAATACCCGTTCTAATTTTTCAGAAAACTGAAAAACAGAAAAATCTCCTAGTTGAGTTGCTCCTTTCAATTGGCAGGTTGTGAAGATTTCTATGGACGGTGTCAACAGTATTACCAGAAAATCGTTTTATAGAAGAGTCTGACCAATGGCGCTCAGAGCACAATTTCCTAAAATTCCTCCAAGCACCTTCTTATCGATTTAATGCTTATCAGCAACCACGTACACTCAGTGGCGAAAATTGATGGGGGGCTACTTTTGTCATAGTCCATTTCGAATTCTTGCAACTTGTTGGCTTGTGATTGGTTACTTAATCACTTTTCACTGGTTGCTTTATTACAATATGGGCCCGCTTCAGTATGGGCAAACACCTGAACAAGATTTTCCGTGGGCAATCTTGGGGTTTTTTTTGGCGGGGAGGGGTGGCAAACATTTTGCATTTTTTTTTCATAAATCCCTTTTATGACCTTGAGGAGGCTACAGATTTGGATAATTTTTACGTGCTTCGGGAAAAAAGAGAAATGAAATAGAATGTTAAAATTGCCTTTTTCTCTTTTTCTTTCTTAATTTTTTTGGCTCTGATTTTTTTCTTTCTTTTTTCTATTTCTTTTCTTTTTTTCCGGGGGGGATGTCCCCCTCTGCCCCACCCCAAATCCACCATTCCTCAAGACACTTGATCAGTAGCAGGAAGGATTGTAACATTTAACTGAGCCATTTCGAGTCTTGTTTTTTCAAATTTGTGTCCACTCCCTAGTTATGATGACTGAAACGACAAAAATTCACCCCTAAATTGCAACGACGTTAACCATGCGATGACCTGCCTAATTTCAAACCAAACATTGTAAAATGCGACTCTCTATTTAATCGAACTGACCTGAAGCAAGTGTTTAATTCATTTTAAAGGTTACGTCTGAATCTTATCGATTAGCCTATGATTTCATGACTCCAATTTTGATTTTTTTTTTTTGTGACTGTGTATGATGCAGGTCTTGGGTCCGGGGTCGGTAATTTTTGTTCATTAGACAGGTTTTATTCGAAATTGGGGTGATACGATCGATATCGGCTGTTATTTCCTTTCAAGAAGAATTGTCTAATTGTGCCATGGATTGTTTTCCTATGGACCTCGATGCTATCTGCATGATTATGTTGTGGGCACCATCGGGATCAAACCAGCGACATCAAACATCTGTGTTGATCAATCAAAAACCCGACACCCTGGTTAAAACAAAACAAAAATCGTCGTTTTACTCGATCTATACGAGTGCACGTGCGTGACACCATGTTCCCGCCAAGGCATGATTAATGTTTCTGTGAGCACCCACGGTGTGTAACAAAACAGTAGGGTTACGGTTATATATAGGTCTAGCCATGTTGAGGTTGAACTTCTAGAAAAGAAATCTTTTAACCTGTAGTTCCAAGAGAGTTCACTGCACTTTTATCGAAGTACTGAAAATGTATAATTGGCCAATGCCTGGACGCACTGAATAACTAACTTCCTGTAGCAAGTAGTAAGCACCTAATCATTTTTTTTCAAAAGTCGCATTAATTTCAGAAGTTCATAGATTTGCATAAAATCAAAGTTACAAACTTTAATCACGGTGACAAGCATGACAAATCTCTTCTACATTTTTGATCTCCTTAGACAACTTAAAATGTACAAAGAATGAACTCAAAACAAAATTAACAGGTGAATGGTAAACAATAAAATTGAGGACAATCTCCTCAGATGCTTTACATTAATTTTTTTAATCGTGCATAATGCTCCAAAATCATATAATTTTAAAACCCCCTGAATTTTAGTCATCGTCTTTTTTCGGAGGAATTAAATAAGCACTGTCCTTAGGGTATACTGATCGTCGGTGGCATACGACTGAATGGTTGAAGTTAACAGATTCATCCCTCGTCAGATGGATTGAGATTAGCGGGATTAGTAAGTTTTGAAAGAAACCACGAATTCCAAGTTCGCCATCAAATTGTTCGGCAATAACTTCATGGAGAACCCAATGTACAGTCGTTATTGTCTTCATGAGACTGCTAATGAAAATTCAGATTAATAAATGTGATTTAATCTGAGTAACAGGTGAACAATTCTTCGAAAGTGATTGAAGCTCCGGCCTTGGCAAGATTTGTAATTCAGATTGATCCCTATTTATCTACTTCACCTCCACCTTGTAAACAGACCAGGCGGTGTGTTAGTACATGTAATCGACTACAATGTACTAGCTCAGAGGATGGCGTTCTGGCACCCATTGGCCCTGCGCCATCGATCGTGTACACGGCGTTGCCCGTGACAACCGGTCCCGCTATTGTCATTCCAACAACCTACGTGGAGCATGAATTGTAATCTAATTCAACAGTTACTCGTTGACAAGTCGATGTCATTGTAGTAATCGCGTGTATTGCTCCTTTTAAAGGAAATGGAAGACCAACTTCGATAGCGTGGGTACTCCTGGGATTTAGTTACCAGTTTGAATTAGTTGTAAAGTTCCCACGAGTACAGGAACAGCATGGGGTTAGACTGGAGGTTTCAGCGCATGCCCAGCTCATGGAGTAGTTGTGATTAGTTTATCACAAAATGAGCATCTAGGACAAGTGCCACTTGAAAAATGGTCGGGTCATGCACTTAAAAATGTTAGCGAAACTGAGACCGCCATGATGGCGCTTGTTTACCTTGCCGCTGCGACGTTGTGTACGACATTCCGTGGAAGCAAGACAATTACGTACGATGCAAAGAGTAACCGACGGCTGGTTCTGTGACCAAAATGTCGCACTGGACAGGTAGGCGCTCTGGAATATTTCCTTTCTATTAAGAACAGTGATCCCTCCATAAATATCCCACGTAAAAGTGTGTACTGTATAAGAACGTTTGAGTTTTGCTACAGCGTGCTCCAAAAAAAAATCACTGCGTGGGGACAGGCAATAGGCCTACACGTAGGCGTACATGTACACTGTACATGTACATGCATGTGTATACACTCAGTGGCTCGGAATTGCATGGGATTTCTAACTTTTTATACATGTAGACCATGTGTGTGTATATCAACGTGATTTGTGCATGCCAAAGTGGTAATCTCGCAGTATGTAATGTGCAGCCTTGTTTCTTGTCTTGTCTCTCCATGTTTTGATAGATATATTCTCACATTCAGTTGACTATAAATACAATGTAATTATTAATTTTATCAAAACTTCACTTCTATGCCAAGTGTTTTTACGTGAGATATTGCATGATTTTTCAATAAAAGCATTGTATCTTTTATTTCAAGGAAACCGAATTGGACCCTGATTTAGCAAAGGGATTTCAGAGACCAGATAACCAGTCCAATCCAACACAGGCCTATCATGGCCGCCATCCGAATTCAGGCTTCCCAAAAGAGGCCTCCCCCGACGCCCGAGCCGATGGACGCTGTCTACGATGCCAACGTCGTCGTCAATACAATTGGAGACGGCCATTGGAGACCGCAAAGCTCCATCAGCCAGAACGCGCTGACGACGGACACCAGCGAGCCCGAGAACCCGGATAACGACCAAGGTGGACAGGCTGTCGTTTTGCTCAAGAATAAGTCCAGGGTTTCCATCATCGACGGTGATACCGCGCCAAGACACGAAGGAGCCGAGGGTTCCCTTCGAATACACGGTATTGTGCCGCGGGACCCACCGCCAACCAGAGCGGCAAGTACCGTGTCACACAAGACGAACGGGGTAAAACGCCGGTTCCGGTTGCGGACTGCGCCGGGAAAACTGCAACGGACCGCGGAACTCGACAGGGCGTTTTCCACCATGAACGACCGCACGCGGGTGACAATCGAGAGCATCAGAGGGAACACGCGGACCTCCCGAAATGAATTTGGTGACAGGGTCTGTCGGCCTTACAGCGTCTACACGGTCACCAAGCAGTGCGAGAGACTTGCCATCAGTCCCTTCGGGGGACCGCTGTTAAACAGCGCGGCCGGTAGGTATCGCGAGAGGTTTTTGAGCAAGCATCGACCAGATGTTGTACAAGGCACATCACGCGGATCGGTACAGATCAAATTTCAGAGATTTTACGATAATTTGGACTTGCTTGAAATCAACGTCAAGCGCACACCGTTCGGAACGCTTCGCAAACCGCCACCGAAGCAGGCACGGAAGGTGGAGTCGACGACGAAGTCGGTGCCTGTAGAGCTCCACAAATTCACCTCCGAGAGAGTGGCTAACCTCCATGAGTCGATGGGCCGACAACAGGAAAGCCAACCAAGCAACCAGTCCGAAGGGAAGCGACTCGGAGTCATGAGTGTGGAGTACAAAGTAGCCATGGAGGTATCGAGCAACCTGGAGAAACATCGCAAGAGCCGACCGTCTAACCTTCCCGGGTTACCGACGTTTTTGCCCGGGAGAACTGACGCACCCAGACTGCAGACCCAAACTGAGCGCCTGCTCACACCTGGGGAGATGGCGCTCAAGGAGGGTATCTCGACCAATCTGTACGACCACGAACGGAGCAAGCGTGGTCCGGTTAAGGCCATCGAGAAACCGCCCAGGCGAGTCAAGTCCCCTCCACTCTCTAAACTTTCCCGAGAGAGGTTTCTCCCGGAGGCACAGAGGCTAAGAGAGAACGAATCTTGGTCACAGTTGAGAATCGGTCGCCCTGTCACACCCCCTGCATCAGAATACACGGCTGTGCAGTCCCCCTCGTTTGTGACAACCGCCAGGCCTTGGACGGCAATGACAGCGCGTAGTGGTGGCTCAAAGAACGCCGACAAGTCGAAACAGGCTAAACAAGAACAGACTGACGGGCCATCCAACCAACAAGAAGAACCTGTCGTGGGAAAACTTGCAGCTGAAAATTCCCACCAGGCACAAGAAGTTAATGAATCAAACAATGCGAGGACTACAGACAAAGTCAGTGAAAACGATCAAAGTAACCTAGAGGAGGAAGTTCAGGAAAAATCTGATTGTTCTGCAAATGAATCTGTTTATCTTGAAAGTACTGGTCAAAGTCCCGAAGAGCAAGACAAGACCAGCACGCCGTTGTCCAGCACATCGTTGGTTGTTACAGTTCCTGGCGATGAGGGCGCGCAAGAAGTTGACCCAGTGGCCAACAGTGAGGGCGGTGTTGAGGTGACGTCAGCGAATGATCATGGTGATGGTACTAAGGGTGACGATGCAATCACAAACAAGGAGAATACAATATTAGTTGACCCAGACGGAGGTAAACAACAGGGCTCAGATGAAAATGATGGATGAGTCAATCCTTAGAACATTTCATATTTTTCAGAGAGAGAAACTCGCATTTGAACCGGCACCCATGTGAATAAGCAGCTGTCATGTTGTCAACTTAGGAGTTTTACCTTAAATAGGATCATAATTTTGTTTTGGCAGAAAATAATGTCAAAGATACTTGCGAAGCTGGGAAAAATTACGAATGAGGAAAAGTTATCAGTAAAATTTCCGACTGAAGTTACAGCTTAACCTTTAGAATGCTCAAAGTAGTTTTTATCTATAAGAGTATATTTTTGCAATATTTTTTTCAACAAAAAGGAAAGAAAATTCCTCGTGGCATTGGAAATCCTACGAGCAGGATTACACTAATTGCACTTTCTAGTATCTGAACAAGGAGGCATAATATCAATGTAACCCGAACACTCTACGATCTTTTCCTATTTACAGTGTTTTTTTATTCAGTGAATAGAATTCGCCGATGTTATGATTGCACTGAGGTAGTCATTTTGGACAAGCTTTCCTTGTTCCTGTGCAGACTTCGAAACTAATATGATAGCTTTGGGGATACTTTATTTCGTATGGTGGCGGGAATGCACATTTATTTGCAATTTGGTGTGCCATAAGTGTTTTTACAAGTCAAGTTTTACCTGCACGAATCTTTCACGAATTCTTAAATGGAATTTGTAAGGTCAAGAAAGTAACTTTCATTCTGAAAATCTACATACAGTTTATACATGTAATCGTCATCTGGATTTACAACAGTGACAGTATTGACGAAATGATTTATACTTGTAGTTGTCAAATTGCCATTTGGTCAACGTCACATAAAAACAAAACATATATAGTAATTTCATTTATTTTGAGAAGATGTCAATAATTTGCATTATTTACATTTTCAAAACAGCAGTTAAAAATACATGAAATAAAATTATCTATTAAAATTCAAACATTGGTCCAACGATATCAAAAGCATAATACAAATAAACCTAATTTTTAAAACAAAGACCCTGTAGTAAAATATGAAGAAGAAACAACCCTATTGAAATGTCTTTTATTCAAGGAATGTTTTTACAGCTTGGACTTAAAAACTAACGACTGATTAAATTTCATGACGTGATCACGTCCATGACCGGAGGTCCTTTGTACATGTACAATGTTTCCATGTCAGTCGCTCCCTGGTTGTTTAAACTACATTTTTTTAAATGACATATGGTTAATTCCAGGACTTTGGGGTTCCAAAAGAGTGACATTTTCGTGTCCCTGTGACATCTGACGTTATATCACCTGAATTGTTTTCAAACTAGTACTGTTTGTTTGGCATGTACTTTGCATTAATTCCTCACTCTTGGAAACTAGAAAATGTGTTCTGAACTTACAAATTCATGTGTCAGATGTGACAGGGACACGCAAAAAAGGGACTCCTAATTTCTGGAATTACCCAAATATGACTAGGTAGCATCAGCGGGTAGGAAGTTTTAGGAATGAGGCTACTATGTCAAATAATTTAAGATGAGTAAATACATGTACTCGAAATTAGGAAACCCAAACGTGGTCCTTGTGGCACTTTGCAGTTCAGGTTGAATTCATCAGACACGACTCTGTTCATGAAAACCCGTCGACCTCTACTATATAAATGGGAACAAACAGCGACTCCAGGCTCCATTTTAAAAGCAACACCAAGGTCTCAGAGTAAAAGTAAAGGGGCATGTTGATTTTTCATCTTCAAAGTATCATTCTTCGCTTTGAGAGAAGCAGATTTGGTGATATGATTTTTTTTTCTGGTTGGCAAACTGAACTGTGGATATCCTGAATTATCAGTTATTTGGTCGTGAATTTGTCTATAAAAAGCCCCTCGGATACCTTTGGTAAAATATTGTAAATTGCTTGTTGGCTGAAAGTTCTGTGGAAAAGTAGAATGTGCAGTGTCTTTTATTAACTGACCGATTGCGTCCGCTAAATCAGATGACCTACAGTGGGTATCAGCCCACAGCAACCTGCGTTTTGAGTGTTGTTTACAAACAATATACAGCCAGTACTCTGAGTACAGTACCTTTCGTCGGCTTTATTTTTGGTAAATGATACTCATGAAACACTTTGCTTATGGTGGACGCCTTGTTTGTTGATATTTAATATCCACTATAGGTCATGTGACTTAGCGGGCGCAATCGGTCTGTTGAAGGAAGAACAAGGGCTTCATTCTAGTCAAAACACTTCTGAAACAAAAAAGCTAATGACACACCGCTTCTGAGATTGTGAATTATGTCAGTAAAAAAAATAAATAACGAGAGACTGTAAAAATGCTGACCAAATATACTCATAAGATTTTTAAATGAGTTCCCTGCTTCTTCAGAAAAATTCCATTCAAAAAGCTTGATGACAAAATATAACAAAATTTGAGACCTAGAGGGCCGAATTGTTTAAATAAACATTGTTTTTACAGAAAAGCTGTGGAGATAAAGGTACAAAAGATTTCTGAAACCACTACATTTTGTTTACTGGAACATGTTCAGATATTGATTTTTTTCAGATTTTAGTAGCTATTTAAAATTCAAACGTCATTGTTTATCTTCACAGTAATATTTTCAATTATAAGTGATTGAAGGGCAGATGATATAATCTCTGTCTTGCATCTGCCGTTAAACACAATTATTTGACGAATGGTGGCGCCATATAAAATTCCCCTCAGGGATTTCCAATGGCAGCTCAATATTTGAAACAAAATGGCATTTTATGCATAGAGTGCAAACACACGTGTAATAAACATTTACACAATCACGGCGCGCATCACAACGCGTGGAAACCATCTCATGCTTAGGTCTGTCGGCCACTGTGTCGCATCACTACCTAATGTTTTACACATCATGACTAAAAAGGTCAAGTTTACATTTTTCAGTTGGACGCTAACTGCAGTGTTTAGCATGGAAGGACATGTTCGTTTTCGCCTGGACCAACTTCCATACTAACCATACTAACTCCCGATGAAAAAATGCAACAAACTGCCTACTATTCGAATGCTGTATTCGGCCACTGCGTCAAAGTTACCCCCTTCCCCGGGTTGCTAAAAATCGGAAAGTAAAAGGAACACGACATGGGCGCATCTTAACCCCCTTAACCCACACCCGATTAAAACCAACAGGTGTGCCTAAACACATTTCTTACTCCCAGCATGGATGTGCAGAATACATGTACATGTATATTGCCCACTTTGATAAAAGGCACATTACTTGAATTTTACGTGGAAACATCTTCTACTGTTTATTCTGTGAGAACTATTTGAAATCTTGAATCTTATTGTAGGGGCACTTTTTTTGAAGCGCTGGACATTTTCCACGCTTATTCTAAGGAAAGAGGGGTTGTTGATGCGATGTCATTGCACGAAGACACGACTCATTCGGGGTGTTTTCTCTTGAAGTTGTGAACCCAAAATTAGTTCCTCGAAACTATTTGAGAAAACTTTGCTTACTCTACTGGCCATCTGTCAGGTACTGAAAATCCTGAGAAATAAAATGTATCCATAATTCAGATTCTTGAGGCTGCTTTGGTTCTAAACATTGAAGAAAAGTTGCTTTTACGAGAACTGCACTTGGAGAAAAGAATGCATGGGCTCTTCAAAGTTATGTCAAATTAAAATTACACAAAAAATTACACAAAACCAAGAAAACTCACAAGCAGACTTGACTATAAATGTGAACGTATACTCCATGCCGTATTTGACTTTACAACTTGCGGTTCGCTAACCCGACCACATCCTAGTTATTAATTTTTTCGGTTGTCGTGACCTGGCTGGAGATTTGATATCTAACCTAAATAATAGTGGAAGCGTCTCTCTATTTTTGTCAATTAAACCTTCAATGTCTAGTTTATCTCATAAGACTGTGAAATTTACCGTTAAATATATCAGACTCCATCCAATTTTGGTCTTCATTTCAGTTTGTAATCAGCTGTCATCCTCCCCAGACTCTTCTTCGTCTTCCTCTGCGTTCTCATCTTCATCTTCTTCATCGTCTTCGTCAACTTCTTCCCCTTGGTACACACGCGCCTTAAACGTTGCCATGGACTCTAACCTCGTCGACATCAGACTGCCCAGACTGTTTTTGCTTCCGGACGGCGCTCCGGGGTCACCAGCATTGCGCCGTCTCTGTGACCTTATCCCAAGCATGGAGTAGTCTAAAAAGTCCTCCCTGCGTTTCTGCATCTTTGCTTTGCGCTCATCCATCCTCTTCCGCATAAGAATGAATTTCTCCTTTTCCGTGAGTTCCTTGGGCTTTTCCTCCTGGATTTCCTCCTCTGGAGTTTTTGCCTGATCGGCGTCCTCCGCAGGTACATCCTCAGTCTCTTTGGGAGTTGGAGAACTCTCACTTAGCTTGGTGGAATGCAGATACTTAGAAACTAAGCTCTTCCGTCGATCCATATCGGCCAGTTCTAAGTCCTCTGGAGTCTCGAGAGGGAACTCAAACGTTGGTGAAGGGGTCCGCGTGTCCCCCTCCCCGTTCGTAAGATCTGGCAAGACTTCTTCGTCACTATGTTGGGCAAGGTTTGGCTTCTTCGTCATCTTTCTCGTACCCCTCTTCTTCCCATTGGCTCTCGCGTGAAACACACGGCCAGTGGTGGGCACAGCAGGCAGCCTGGTTGCCCGGTGCTCGCCTCTTGCTCTGGCTGGTTTTGAGTCCCTGTTCACCGCAATGGTTTGTCGATGAGAAACTTTTGCCTTTACGGTTGACATTTGGATGGAGACCCTGGCTTTCCTCTCCGCAGATGTTGGCCTCGCTACAGGTGCAGTTTTCAGCCTCTGCTCAGATCTGCGTTCCTCCTCCTCGATGTTGATCCCAAGGATACTCCAGTCGTTTATGTGTTCCCTCAGGTACTTCTTGTCGAAGAGAAGATCCATGTGGGGACGAGGGTGAGCGGTGCTGATGGACTCGTCTGACTGCGCAAACTCGCCGTCAGGATTAGCCAATCGCAGACTCTCAATAGCCACCATATCCTGGTCCTCCTCCTCTTCGTCATCCTGTTCGTGCTCGTCAAACATCTTTTCGTACCACTGTTCTGTGTCCTTCTCGTCTATCAACGCTTGCGAGATTTCGCTGTAAACTACCGAGTTTTCACGCGCCTTACGACCCTCCAAATCTCGCCTGATTCTCCACAGTTTCTTGCACAAGGCTAAATTCAGTGTGTCCTTTGTACCAATCAGAATGGGGTATGTCGGTGATTTGCTTCGCGGATGGTAGCCGTGCTTGGAGACGTACAGTACTTTCTGCGGTTCGGGGAGGTCCGGCGTTAGAGTATTCTCGCCGAAAGGGGAATTTGAAAATTTAGCTGGAAGCGACCTTGGACGCCGGTCTGCTGTTCTGAAAATCCTGGTGGTTCCATTTAATGTTTCAACCTGAAGATGTGGATTGCTCGCCAGACTCTTCAGAGCTGAGGCTCTGTCGGCGAGTCCGTTAGCAGACGTGAAGAATACAGTCCCTTCTCGCGTGCTGTGCACTTTTGGGAGGGTACTGAATGAGCCGTCAGCCGTGGATTGATGAGTCTGAGCTGTGGTTCGTCGGGTAAACGCGAACTCTGCGCATGTTTTGGATCTGCGCAGGCCCAGTGCGGCGACATGGTGGTGAGGGGTCTGCGACTGGACTTGGCGGGTATGGACTTTGGTGTTTCGGTGAAATGTTGTCTGCTGCCAAGCTCCTGGTGTTGTAGTTGACTGTCGCGATTGGCTAGGCCAACTTCTGTACAGAATGATGAAGAGAAAGATTTTAGTGATAGAATGGTTCGAGGAAAAATGTACGATACGTGCATTGGCCTATGTCGAGGCAAAACAACAAAGACAGAGGGAGAAGAACAGGCAATATACAGCTGTCCAAATAAAAGAGTTTCAAATTCTTGGTTTTCTGGGTTTGTTTTTAGTTGCTCGTGATTTGGGGGAAAATTTTGTTGCAAGTCTATCAAGTGGTTATTCGGCAGGATTCAATCCTCTCCGACATCGACGCTTTCCATGATGTTCATTACAATATACAGCCGGTTCTTAGTTGACAAAGAACTGGTTGTCACAAATTCACACGTTGAGTGGACAGTTCGCACGGTATTGCCGTAAACTTCATTCAGATTTTTAGGCTGCCTCGGTTCATTCACATGGGCTTCCAACTTTCCTGTTTTGAAATGTCTGCCCTTTCGTCATGCACCCACAAGTCTTGGCAGTTCATACATGCACTTAAGCATACGAGGGATGTTGAAAATTTAGTCTGGTGACTCAGTATGTTGATTGAACGTATGTTGATAGCTTCCCCCTCATCTTATAGAGTTCAGGGCATTAACAGTGAATTGAACATTCAGGAATCAATCTGGCTGCTCTCCTAAGCCGACAAATTCCATTTTTGTTTCCGTTATGCATTTATCTATGTGCAATTTCAGTACATCTTGAACTTGAAAGTAGTTTTAGTTTTTTAACTTCGAGACTGCCAATACGCACTATATGTACTGAAAAGGGACGACAAATTATCATGTGAAATCATGCCGTCTGCACATCTTGGTTCAAATAGAGGCTAGACTTTGAAGTTTCCGGCCCTGCACTGAAAGAGTTTATACTGAGATACCATTGTAAGGACAGGAAAAGATCTTGGTTTTTCAAGTGCAGCCTTGATTTTGTTCCAAAATGGCGATTTCATGCAAACAGCAAATTGAAACCTACATTTTAATGGCGGATCGAGGATGGCCAAGGGGTCCACGACCCCATCCCCACGCCCCCCCCGAAAACAGAGTCACTTTTTGAAAAGTAATTAGAGCCTGAAAACGAATGGGGGGGGTCTATTTCATGTTCCTCTCTTCCAAAAGGGTGTAAAAAAAATCCCCAGAGTATACCCTCAGTCCTAAGAAAGGCCATAAAAGATGGCACGAAAAATCGAATCCCCTCCAAAGAAAAACAAAATTGTTCCCGTAAATTTGGTTCTGAATTCGCAATTGCATGTACATGCATGCTCAGTACTCATACTCAAGTATACTGTTAAAACGTCACTGGCCAAATATACCCCGACTCCTGTTTATGCTTCAAGGTTCATATTTACTGACATTTATATGTATATATGCAGACATGATCGTGTACAAAGACATGGTCCCATATACCTGACAGTCATTCAATACACCATCAAATAAACCAACGCGCTAAACTTAACAATCCGCATAAATTTGAGATTACCTTACGTGTTAGAGACCCGCATATGCAATGATGGCTTCGGCTGAGAAATGCAGACGACTATGCGCATTTTTTATTTCCTCCACGCTGACAACGTAAAAAGACAAAATCTTCCAAAAATCCTTCTCACTTGAATGTTTGCATGCACGGCAAAAATCATCAAGACTGCGGTAGCCCTGTCGTAAATCTCTTTTTGTGACTCTTGAGTGCTTCAAACCGGGTATAATGTTCGTCTTCCGGAAACTGATATATGGCCTAGCAGATGTTGGGACTAACTCTGTGACTTGGGGATGATGATTCTAAACACAAAATTCAACTTATGACCAGAAACACGCAAACCTTATCTCCACATCAGATTGCGCGACTCCAAATTCTTACTTGTTTGAATAAAAACGTTTGCCTTGAGCAAACTCGGACCGGCAGGACCATGTCTGCATCCTTCTGTACATGTATTTGTCACGTAAACGTTATTATTCAATTTACTAACACCATTTTTATTTGGGGAAACTGTCACGCGATAACGTTCAAATTGTCATTTAAAAATGCATGTCAATTATGTGGACTGAACTTTTTTTAGGTACCAAATCTGAATGTTAAAAAAAATCCAAGCAACACGATTCAAGTAACTCCCCGTTTGGAACAACGTCTATCTACGATTTAGAAATTGTAAAGTTTGCAACATTTCCGAAACAGTGACTCGGAGTATGATATTATTTTACCCTCGGCATAATTTTCACATGCACTGTGACTGTATGATTTAATTATTTAATTCTGACAAGAACTATAATTGCCTCGTGAAAAGAGAAATTTAAACCACAGATTCGCACTTGGAAAATTTCAAAACACCACTTACAACATCGTTAGCTTTCACTTTCTTATCTTTTATCAGAAATCGAGCACTGTGATATTGCTGCATGGTCACAATGTCGTGGACTCGTGAAACATAAGTAACCCAGGTCAGCGCACAAACAAGTAATGTGCTTACCGACTGAACCTGTCCCCCACCATAACCTCCTCAGACGGCCCACGAGTCACAGTGAATGGCAGACCACAGGTCACGCAGGTAACAAACTCCAAATAACACTCAGTCCCCTCCTTCAAGTTCGATCCCCTGCCGGCTAGGTCCCTTCCTCCCCTCGCCTCCACGGACACATCCTTACAGACTGGTCTCCCGGCTCCGTTCACCAACGACAGCCCGACAGCCAGCGGAGGTAATGCGGGGCTACCCTGCTCCCTCATGATTTAAAAATAGCTCCGCGATTATAAATGTACTTTTGACGGCATGCGTCGTGGGAAAGGGGCTCGTTAGCCCCTCTTAAAATCTCATTAAACTTTGAAAAACCTGAGTTCCGTTGTTCTACCGTCTGTTATTCAGATCGCTTGTGTTTCCGTGGCCCATTTCGTCACTTGAAATCACTCTTTGGACACCTGAAGTGCGTCGGCGTGAACGCTCTTTAGACCTTGGTACACTGATCGCAAGCCTCTTGTGTCGACACTCAGATTCTGGTTTGCCGTCAGCAGGTTGTTTTGATCGTCGTTCAGTACCAGTTGCAATGGACCGAATTCATCGTTGGCGGACCAACGCCATGATGGTAGTTAATGTCCAAGCGGTCGATTTTTGGACAAACTTTGACCAGACGGAAGTAGTTGAAATTGCAGTCCGAAGACTCTGTAGGGCCACTTTCTATGGGGCCTAAAAGTTAACAACTTCAGAAAATTCTCGTGGCAAAGTTCTTTTTTAACTCTCCATGACTTCCCAGCTATCCCGGACTGTCTTGGATGAGCCTGCGGAGTAGATGTAACCTTCTCCGATCCATCGGCCAAACAAGGTTTCCGAATCATTCTCTTCTTCACGTGACCATGACGTCATTGGTAGTTAACAGCTAACTGGCTAATAATTTCAAAATCGTTCCCCATCAAAAAGTCCACAGTATCCGGATCGGTTTATATCAGTCTCTTCCAGCTATCCTTGGGACTGTGACAGGCGTGTTATCCAAAGACGACAACAAAGACGCGCGAATGCACCATAGTAACGCAATGTGTCACGCACAACCACTACGAAATTAATTCATCAATTTAATTAGCCACACTAAAAACTCATTATCACAGGTAATAATTATTCCACCTGTTTGTCACTCTGTGCCGATTCTCACATCGGATGTGCCATAGACACCATTTCACCCAGACATTCTCACAGTCCAGCCGAGAAAAATGTTCTATAGAGATGAACTGTCGCATATAATCTCCGGTGACTTAAGGAGACAGCAGTTGCGCCAACAATGCAGAAAACCACTGTCGAAAAGGTTTCTCTCTGCAATACATGTAGCTGTTTTGTTCTCCACAATCACAGCCGACGGCAAAAGTCGATACGGCCGTGTGGAGAATCAATAGGCAGATGGACGAATGCTGTACTTGTTAGCCTCCACAAAAAGTGAGAAGTGTTTTGTTTGATAAAATATCACCTTTTAATTTTGCATCTGTTTATAATTTTAATTGTCACTAAGATTGGAAGTCATCCAGTAAGTGAAGTGTACCACTTTAATAACACGCGAATTCATCTGGAGACTTGTGAACAAAGAGATACAGCACTTGGCCCATGTGGTTAGTATGGCTTGGAAGCTAAGGACTCATTTCAAATACACTTGTTGAATCAACGATTGTCCCGTTGCTCTTTCTTAATCTAGTTAAGTGAACCACAAGTAATTAACCAAAACAACAACGGTTATAGATTTGCTGTCTATGCGTTCAATGTGTTTATGTCCTTAAAATAATTGTTATCTAATTTCGAATGTGGACTGCAGTGAGAGTTTGTATTTTTTATGTTGTCATGGTTGGAATGAGTAGCCCAATCTATAGTGTCAGCCCTTGCCTGAAAATACGTGCGGTTGTATCCTTCAAGTAGCAATCGATACGACTTCTGTAGTCTGTATTTACGACAAAGAAGAACATGGATCCTTGAAAGAGATTTTAAAGATTGGGTGTCAACAACACCAAATGCATATTCATTATGCAGGCCGACGAACAAACTGGTAACGATTACTCGTAGAGGGCGCTCTTACATAATTCCTCAAATAAAAGTGCCTGCCGATTTACTAAAAATGTATAGTTACTTTCTGTAACTATATGTCATTATTGTCACAAAGGAGTTATAGATTTTTTAAATTCAAATTATTTCAATTCAATACACAGTACTTCAGTGAAAAGTCTCACTAAAATCGTGATTAACTGCAAGAAGGATTTCACATTTTCCCTTTAAACCAAACACTTGTAACCGATTGCCTTGCTAATGGAGTTATACTTTTTCAAAGTTCTTCCTTCCCTTGCAGCATTACGAGCTAGTCGCGCATAAGGCGAGAAACTTTTTGTCTTCAATAAATCTGAGGGACTCCGGTAATTTATTGTAAACCTTGGGGGTTTGGGTTTTTTTTTCATCGATCATACAGTCGATACTTTGGGCAAAACTTCACGCTAACTTGATCCTTTAAAGCTTACAAGTGTTTAAATGAATTCGTCAGATCAGAACACATTAGATTTTCTATGAACTGTAAACAATGTCCGGCAAAGTTCTTGTCGTTCAGAACTTTTTGATAATCAGCTCAAATTATTTTCAATCCTGTGGAACTCGTTTTATCAACATTCATACTTTCTTCGCATGATTAAGATCTGAAGTTTCTTTTTTAAAAACCCTTCATTAATCATGGCGCTTGAATGCTTTTTAATTCCTGTCAAAATTGATTTTGTGGAGTTTTTTCTTACCTCCTTTGTGGGGAGTTACGGTGAATACCGTTCACGGTCCAACAACTACGGGTCGTCGAGGACAGTGTGGTGTTGGCCCTCGCTGGGGGGCCCTCCCACCCCGTGCCGTCCATAGAGGCTCGGCCGTGATGCGTGAAAACCCTGTTGTTGTCCGGGAATGCTGCGGTGATGAAGTTGGCAGATTCCCGCTGACAATTGCGGCCCGTGGTGGCTGTTGTTGGCGCTGCTTTCTCGGCCATTCTGAGTGCAGCCGGTGCCGCTGTGGACAGATTTTGTTGATACCAGTTGCCACGGTTGCCCATTATGCTGTGTGGTAAAAGGCGCACGTGAGTCCAAGTACTTGGGTCGCGGGCTACCACACAAAAGTAACGGTGGGAAAGATTTGTTATAGAGGAGTTACTAAATTTGCAAAGACGAAATATGGCGTGATCATTGGTGCACTGCATGCCAGGAAACAGCTGAAAGTGTTTTACATTATGAAGCCAGCTTTGAGTTTGAACACAACTGAAATATTAACTTTTTATCTCGCACTGTACGATATATTATTTCAATTTCTTCTCCAAATAACATTATCTGACCCAGTGAAGTTTTTCGTTGTGTGCCATTTATAAAGTGAAATACAACTCAAGTACAAGACCAAGTGGTTACCAGGAAAACACGTTTACAAGTATTTCAATTAAATAAAGAGTTAATTTTTGGACAATTCCAACAAGTTAACAGAAATCGCGGAAAGAATTCCATATACGGACAACACTAATTTTCCCTTAAAATGTTATAACAACAATCAGAAAGTGGAAACATGTCCTAAATTAAATTTAGCTAAGAAAATTCCGAGGCATTTAATTTGAAAACACTTATTATTTTCAGACGAGCCTCACAGGTTTGTGCACAGCGGCATCAAGTGTTGTCCGGATATGGAACTCTTTCCAAAATGGATTCATTGCTACGTACCTCGACCTCCCAATGTTACAAACACATAAAACAGAATTCAAAAGAGCAAGTTTGGGTTTGTTTTTATTCTCGTATGAAAATTTCAAGGTCATTAGTTTTAAATCGCTAAGTAAAGACAATCACCGTGAGTGGTCGTTGACGTTAATATGAAAACCAGTTAAGAAGTCTGAATTTTCCTGAATAATCCCTTCATGTATATACCTTATCTGCTGGCAGCATCACTGACGGCAATCCCTCCAAAATTTTCTCGGTAATTTCCGCTGGAGACACGAATTCATAGCAATGGTCAGTACTTCCCGTCGTGTCCATGAAAATGAGGGGAGGGCACGAGTTTTGGACACTGCCTCGTCCTTCCCAATGACAGTGGGCGATATTAGTGAATTCTAGTCACTCTTCCGTCTGTACAAGAAAACGGCATCGGTGTTTGTGTCCGGTGACGGTACAGGTTTCGCAGCGTTGTCATGTAGGCCCAATGTCTACTCGTGGAGGAATTGTCAGCGATTTGGTCACTGGTAATATGTCCTATTTCGTCGTCCTCTTCAAAGCAGTAAGTCTCCTCGATTTCTTCTACAGTTGAAGACTCGACACAGTCTCAAGTATCGACAACCGTATTTGACGACTTAGGATTATGAACTGGTATCTAGCGGCCATGAAAGGGGCACGTCACAAAGCCGTGAAAGGAAAGCTGTCGGGGAATGGTGGTGGACTGGTGTTAGGCAGGTGTGGACGTGAATTATTCATACAAGCTGCCGGGACTCACAAAAGGAAGGGGCTCTGAGCGAATGTTAGCTTTTACGGCTCATGGCTTTCGAGATTTGTGGTTTCAGAGAGGATCCGCTTTCCTTGGTGGTGGCGTTTTTGGGAGGTAAAACAATTTTCGAATAAATTGTACTTGTCAAACATTGAGGAATTTAGAGTTGCAAGTTTATACACCGGCAAGGACTCGACCAAGATTCACCCGGCACAGCATTTAGACTTGGTTTAAAAATACAGGCTTTCACTGTTTTTTATTTCTTTCCGTGGTAATTCTTAAGGAAAATTTAAGATGAGATTATGCATTATCTGTAGCCTACGTGAATTACTTTGCTTCATTCCCAACTGCATTCAAGACACCATCTTTTGTAAAGTTGGCCTAATGCGGTTAAAAATATATCCCCTTTTCAAAAACACGTTGAAGGGCACCCCGTTTACCGTCGCGAACCTTTTATTTGGACGGCCCTGACCGCGCTGAGCATGCCTTCAACAATGACGAGGGGGTCGGACATTAAGTGTCCGGTTATGGTCAGCTGGTCATTTTCGGTGAAGGTCGTTGAAGGGCATAAGTTTTCCAAAGGCCCGTTTTGACTTGATGTGAAGATCGTTGCGCTGTCGAACGATCCACTTACGTAAGATGCCCTTACATACAGAAATTCATGCAGGATCATTTCCTTCACTGTCGTGATAAGTATAGCATTATTTCGCCAATACGCGCAGAGATGGCAGAGAATTTGGCAGCGTGCGAATCGTGGTTCGGTCTGTGCAGGTATTAAACTTTGGGCCTATCTTCTGGCCTGCAACCCTACACATCACCAGCAGGAGATGGAGTGGAAGAACACCTCCTTCCGAAAACTGCAGACTTATCTCCGCTACCACTGCAGACAGTTACGATTCACTGACCGGTGGGCTTTCAGACATCTTTCCACCAAGTTGATTTCCTGGAATAGCGCTTCGCATGTTTCCCAAATCGCATCCCACATTCTCCTTGTGTAAATTTGTACATGTGTTTAGAATTTGGCTACTCATGTGAAAGAAAGGTTTCGCATCCTAGTATTATCCTTTGAACACATTTTAAAGTGCCGGAACCTAAAACACGTTGGCAATGCAAACGCGTAAAACTAAAAACTCCAAAAACGTGACAAAGGAAAGTTTTCTTGAGTTGATCGCCGTGATATGAACCCGTTTACATCAAACACAAGTTCAAAATGTAAACGGATTACAATTTCGATCTACAAACTGCAACAGGTTGCATTGATGATTATTTCACTGGACTTATTAAAAGAAGTAACTGCAACTCCATCCACAAATATAGAATTCCACTTAAAAGGGTACAGGAAAAATTGTAGCATTTTGTAATTTTGAAATTGTGGTACCCCTGTCGATGCAAAGCAAACAATTTCACTCGGGAGAAAGTGTAGCCCACACGTTTCGGAAGACGGTAGACAAGGCTGAAACTGGGAAGACGTTGGAGTCTGAGGAAACAGTCTCTGTTATGGGTCTGAACTTGAATCCATTTTTTAAAAACTTTGAACCACTGTTTTTGTAACTAAGTCGGGTCAACTAAATTTGAAATTAGCATAACTTTAATACTTACCGACACAGAAATCCGAGCTGCTTATGGGAAGTTACTCAACGATCATCTCTGATGAATTTTTGTCAATGTGAATTTCCAACGACGTAGAGGCATGAGAATGTGAATATCTAGTAGATGGCGAATTCCAATTTCAGGTTCTGAACTGAAACAACGCGGAGTTCCGCAGTTATTTCCAAGTTATCGCACATCAGTGTTTACGAGAAGCAGGGTGGCTTGTCAAGAATCACAATGTACCCGAAGAACTTTGAGTCGGTGTTGGCCATCGACATTTCATTTCGTGAGGCCAGGAAACGCGACAGAGACAGATCTCAGTTCTGAGGTAACGGTGCCAGACGGTAGTGGGCCTGTTGGCGTGCATTCCCATAACCCCCGGCGGCCGAGAAAGAGCCGTGCACCGCCCGTACACCTCTGGCGCGTTGCAGCTTCCACGGTCTGCTGAACAAGGAAGCGCGGATGGCGTCCTGAAACGGTTATTTTTGTGGCAAAACGAGGTCTTCGTACTATCGGGTTTATCAGGTCAAATATTTGATTAAGTTTTTGATCACAGAATCGTAAAATTTGGCATACCACAGCCCAATGTAAATAGGCGTTCATCGTAAAATATATCGGTCCGTTTCGGTACAAAGCTCGCAAATTTCATGGGAGTTTTGTTGACAAGTTTTCGGTTACAATTCCATATTGGCTGATGATAAATGGGAACTTTGCACTATGACTAACTCTGGTTTATTTAGCCCTGGGAATTATCATTTTGTTTTTTTCTGTTACGTGTACAGCCTGCGTTACTTCCTAGTTTAAAAAAGATGGATATTCCTTGCATTACTTCAAAGATCAAAATTACAAGATATTTCAAACTAGCAAAGAATACCATTAAAATAACGCACAGTCTGTTTTATCCATGGGTTGAAAAGTGAAACCTGTACTGACAGGTTGCTGCATGAAATTTATGAACACCGATAGCATCTTGCCTCAGTTTGGTCTTTAAGTTTTAGTGCCCAAAGATGGAGATCGTGGAAAAGATGGTTTAATTTCCCCACGACGGCAAAGTAGCCGGACAAACAAATTCTTCAAGGTACTTGATATGACATGGGTGATAACATCCAGAGCAGTCGCGTTGGAGCCTGTTCGTGTGAGGAATATTGACGGTTGCTAGTCTGTGGGCCAAGTCCCATGCACTCAGACAGATAGATACGGAAATTAACGAACGGCGCACGTGGCTAGCCTAATCATTTTTTCAACAGAAATGGACTCCACTTGGGAGCACAACCAAAAGAGCCCCGTCCCATCCACTCCCCGTCTCATGTAATTCCACTGACTAATTTCATCTGTCTTGTCGAGTTGTTCTGATGTCACTGAACGTCTCAAATAAAATCGCATGCTGCAAAAGCGTTCCTTGTTGAAACTAAAGAAAAAGCCTGAAATGAATCGGTTGTAAGGTGTCCTCCGCCACCTTCGCACACTTTTGGCAATTATTGCCTATAAATGTAAATTTCCCTACATCTAAACACTTGAAGACGTATCTGAATATATGTTGGTTGTAAAATCAAATTCGATCACGTCCTCTCGACTACATTACGATATTGTGAGAACTGCGTTTCGTTATTTAAACAGCATCGAACAGACAGCTTTCGAATACTGATTAATTAAGACGTAATTACAAGTTCCAATAAAAAACTGTTGACCAAGCAGCTATTTGTTTCTAAGGTACATGCAAGTTGTCTGCTTTTGACCGGTGCAATTACTGATTTTTCATTGTAGGCTATCGGCAAATAGCGACGTTCTCCATACTAACAGCTGAAAGGAAAGTGCCAATTTTAAGGGACTGAACTCAGTAAGGGGTACCTGCTCGATCTGTTTGTATACACGGATTTCATAATTACAGTCTGTCTCTCTTTGAACTGTGGTAGTGTAAAATCTTGAAAAAGGAAATTAATCATGGCCTAAAGAACTTAAAAAAAAAACAGAAAAGTACAAGAAGCACCTGTCAGACTACATCTCCTCTTAAAACAGTTTTTTTTGCGGAAAAAAGAAATAGCTCGTCATTTGTTTCCAATTATGGCTCGCCGAGCAGTGGACATCAAAAAGCTATCACACAAATTCAGTATTGTCCTTGGGCATTATACTTTACTTTAAATCCTTCGAACTGGATGTTTTTGGGATGTTTTCTTATGCTCAGAGAAAGTCTCCAAGCCGATACTGAAGTACTCAGACTTGGCCATTCAGGCCTTTCTTGGCCATGTCTGTGGTCATCGTGTGTCTGGGTATTTTCAATAGGCAGGCGAGGACCTAGGACGTGTCCCAATCATCCTTGGCTGCGGTTGGACCATAATAGATACATGTACATCATGTTATTTTCAGGCGCTTATGCAAATGATTTGAATGAGGCCTTGTAATTGCGCTAGTTGCTTTGGAGGGAAAAAAGGCAGAAATACGTATACACTGTACTTATTTAAAGCATCTAGGACGTACAGCTTCCAACTTGTTAGGGATTTCGTTTACAGTATTGTGGATCTATTTTATATAGAGTCGGGGGGGTATCTGACCATTTTTTAGTGGTGTCTGGGGAGGGAATGCAAAAAAATGACGTAGCTAACTCTGTTCAAAATGAAAATTATCCAAGAATTCGTGATCTATATTTCCAGTAAAAAACCAAAGTGCTACATTGCTCCTGATGGTTTTTTGTTGTTTGCTCTGTTACTGCAGCAACCAGAACAGTAGGCCCAGCCTTTAATGCTTTATGCAGTCTGCGGAGAGCAACGCCCTCTTGTGGTCAAATTTGTTAATTTTTCAGTCTGGGATCTGCCTCCTCTAGCGTAGCGTGTGTACGTAAAGTGTTGCTATCAGTCTGTATCTATGAACTATGACCCGAGCGTAAAACACATGTCTGAAAAAAAGAGAATGTAAAGCAAAAGTAGGCTGAACATATTAAATATCGTGAACAGTTTTCCACTTACTTTGTCAATCCGTTGATACCGCCATGACCTCAAGTAACGTCCCATCGTCGATGGAAAAGTACCTAGATGTTTTGCAACATAATAGAGGTTAGTACATGATCACTATTTGTAAACTCGCAAGTTGGGAGTGGTACTTGTTGCCCAATTTCCGGACAACATACAACAATTAATAATACAACCGTATTTTGAAGAGGTTAAATCACACATTCACAGTAAATAAAAGAAATGTGCCAGCCATTTCTAAAAATACTTGGATACAGCTGTTGAGTATGGGTAGGCCTAATCCATAAATGTGGCAGTGAAATCCATCATTTTATTTTCTTTGTTCATTTTCTACCTGTCTTTTCCACCTCATATTTGTTCTTTTTATGGGGGGGTCATCATGTGGTACTTCGAGAGCTCAAAGTCACTACTCCGTGTGACTTTGAGCGCACACAGTTTACATGGTGTCGTAACACTATGGGGTTTTGAAAAGTGCTCTACCAGTGCAGGTAGTTGTACGTGAGAAACCTTTCTAAAGCAAATGTACATGTAGGGCCTACCCATTAATAAACTTCTACCATATCAAACATCTGGGTTCGCGTGTATTTTGTAGAATTTAACCTGTACTACTATCCAAAAATTAGTTTTTTTTCTACCATCCTCACCTCTCATCTGTCGACAATCTGCACACATCTGCATTCTCGTATGGCCGTACGTCACGTGACAAAACAGATGCAGCGTATTCGCGTAACGTTAACGAATGTTTATGTTGCTTTGGATACCGGTCCCGGTGTTGATTACCATGCAACTAAAATGTTAATGTACTTACATTAAGTGCGTACATGTGGATCTCATCACAGCGTGCAGGGCTGGGGACGTGTCACTCTGAATCAGCAGGACTGGTGGAAATTCCGCTTCCTCCATTCTTACATTTAATGATTATTCTTTATTACAACTCTTTATTCATTAAACTGTATCTCACTTTCATGAACAAACTTTTTAAAATCAAATTCATATTACAAAATGATACTATGTGCCTTTAAACAAAACGTTATGCATACTTGTACACATGTACGCTTTACCTACAGTCGATTAGGGATACATACGTCGAGCAGCCTGCAGCACGGCAGTTTTCGCATTAGACAAGGTCCAGATAATATGAGCTAATTTAGTAAGTCCCAAGGCACTCGTATTAACGAGAGTAGACTGTACATGTACATGTAGGCATCAGCCCAAGCTTACTTTTTAACTAAGTGTATTGATAGTTGCTGTGCCAAATGTGATTCTTTAGCACATGTTATCACTTTCTGATACTGATAGCAATCCTGGAAATGTGGGAATAAGCCAATTTCCCATTCCGTCGCCATGTTGTTTTTAGTGCCCCTGTGCAAGTAAGTAAACAAAGCCAGAGGGGAACAAATTGTCTACGACAATAACAATCACGACTATCCATTCACCAAACATTCCACAACGTTGTTATCATGATTTTGTTCCCCTCAGTTAAGTCTTCTGAGCATATGCAGATGAAATGTGAAAAAGGCTCATTAGGAAACATTTCACAATCTGGAAACCCCTGTTTACTTAATAGTAAGAATCGTTTCCCAGTTATGGTATTGGTAATGGCAACAGTTATGAATTCCGAAACACAAATTCAAAGACACTGGTGCAGAATATTGCACATTGGCGACAATAGAAATTGGAGAAATTTGATTTTTATTTACTTGCCTAAATTTCTGTCTGTGCAAATCAACAAGTTATCTGTGCATTTTCTTTAAATAGTCGATAACATTTGACCATGTAAGCCTGCTGGGAAACGAATATTACAATTCCATTTAGGAGATTAATGTCAGCCTCTACTTGGTACTTACTTGGTACTTGGTGGTTGTCCTTTTGAATGCTCTGCTTGGGATTCTTACTAAGAGGCCTTAGAGAGTGGCTTGCTTTGAAATTAGTTCTTTAAATTTGTGGTGGCTGAGGGCATCAATGGTATCCTGAGGGAGTTTGTTCCATTTTCGAACAGTCCTTGGTAAAAAGGAGTTCATATAGCAGCTAGTTTTAGCAGCAATTTCAGAGAGTTGGGAGTTATTGCCTTTACAAGATCTGGATGTCTTCGGTAAACAGGCGTCTAGTCTAATGGGTACTTTATTATTGCCTATTTTGTAGAGATAAGTAAGCTGATTTATTGCCCCTCTGTCTTCAATTGTTGTCCAATTAAGGTCTGTGAGCATATCAGTCACGCTGCTGCTCCTTGAGAAGTTGTTGCCCACAAAGCATGCAGCGTGTCTCTGTACACTTTGGCAGTATATTGACATCTTTCTTGGTTTACAGAATTTCGGGAAAAAAGTATGGTCTGGTATTCTAGAGTTTAAGACACCTGAGGTTGAATAATCTTTCCTGTCTAGATGGCTCATTAATGCTGGGAGCCTCTGGTTTGAACGGCAAGTTTTGGGCCGGGTCTCTCTGGTTCTACGAAGACCCAGAGAATGCCCCAGACATCAACAAGTGCAGTGCCGGAATACAGACAGAAGCTGGCGTGACAGACCTGCAGTGGATTGACGAATGCAGGGTGACCGTTGCTTCAGATTCAGGTAAACCAAATCCTAAGGAGACAATTACATGGACAGTTGATGAAACAGTTGCTGAAACAGTTCGGCAATAATGGTCTTCCTGTGTGACTTGCTTTCCAGTGGTTATGTGCTATATCAAAACACTGGACTAATATTAATGGACCACTGAGCATTAACTTTGGTAGCCTCACAAATGGAGCCCAGGTGATGGACTTTGCATACCCCCCAGGTGTCCCAGTGTGCAACACCCACAGGACTGTAGCTTGAGAACCACCATCTGTAATATTTATCCTTGCATTCTGCAATTTCAAAATTCTCGTTAATGCTTGTTTGCCCATTGAAATAACCTCAGAACGACCTCATTCCTTATTGACAACAAGGCCCAAATACAGTCAGAGATTTCGACTTTGCTTGGCTCTGTCTCTGCTCCTACCTCAAGGATGTAGCGTTACATTTGATTGCCATTATTGAACCAGGTGCAATTGAAGTTTGGCAGCTCGTAAACAGTCGGAGTGCCTTCAGAAATTTGTTTTACCTGTACGAACATGACAACGCCGTCCACAGCATCAGCATCAACTCCAACAAAACCCGGGTCATCAGTGCATCATCAGACAGACAGTAAGCCAACCAACCAGATCTTTAAATAAAAATGTAAACTGATCTTGAAAATAACAGTGTCTTCTGAATGAAGAGGGGCTGGTCCAGAGAAGGCCCTTGTCCTCCCCAGAGAGTCTCCATTTTCATTGTTTTCATCACATTACAAAAGTTCCCTCATCAAAAAATGCTGTAATGTGAAATGAAACCAGTGACATAATGCCCTGATTGTGAACAGAAATTAGTGTTTAACTTCCATTTCCGCAAAATGCTGGAGTCTGAAGCGATGTGTTGCATATAGAATGCATTCCTAAATTTCATAATCTACCATTGCATTTCTGTTTGTTCTTTTTCAGTGTGAAGGTGTGGGATTTAGCTTCGCAATCGTCAGTCTTAACCCTGAAGGCACACACAGCGAAGGTAGAATGTGTGGCATGCAGCCCAAATGAGCTGGAGGTATTCCTCTCGTGTTCTCAGGTAAATGATGGGTGTCTAGAGATCGGATGTTCCTTCATGAACCTCAGTGGAAGAGGTTGAACCCTTAGGGTGTTACTGTAAGGCTGTGCTTTCTTCCTCATGAAGTCAGGAAACACATGGAAATATTCTGTGTAACTTCTGTTCAGATGTCTGCAATATGAAATATAAAATTTCTGACCTCAGGGAGACCTCAAAATATGACTTGCCAGGAATGCTCCGTTGGAAATTCTGGATATTCTCATCAAGAATAAGGCTGTTTCTTATTCTGATACGGGAACATGTCCCTGTCCACATGAATGTTAGTCAAAGAGCAGCCTGCTCAAGATAGCTGCATGCTGGGAAAACTGGTCCTTTCTTGCATCACTGTTCCAAATAGATCCTTCAAAACCCACCATGAGGTTATGAAGGATTTTGCAGGGTCAAGGAAAATTTAGCTCAGCCCTCATAACTTAACCAGTTGCTGCCGGGTGCCTTTGGAAATGCGTGTCTGATGCTGGGCGATTTTTCAATATCTTCAGTTTTCAAAAGTTTTCAAAAATTTGTATCTTTTTTTCTTGAATGCCTTAACCTCATCAAGCGATTGTCTGTTGGCTACTCTACTGACAGACAACATCTCTTGACGCCCGAGTATTTCAGCCAGACCTGCCTTGTAAAAAGAGCTCAGATTGTGCGGTGTTACCTAATTTTCTTTTGTTCCTGAAACTGGCACAGTGCGCTGCTGTCGTCTTCTCAATACAGGCCAGATTAGCGTGTAGTGGTATTGTATCGCTCATCAGTGGAGCGCTGGATTACTTTTGTCCCCGGTGGTGATCCGCTCGCACTGAATGCCACAAACAGTGGTATAATCTTTCAAAACAATGACAGATTTCCGAATTCCTCTGCTATTGACAACTGAAAAAATGTTGGTAATTCCCAGCAGCCTGGTCTTTTGTTCCGAGTACGGTCTTTTGTTACAAGGCCCAGTCTTTTGCCTGATTTCGGGCACCCCGGCTATGCGTACAAGCCCAAGGTACCCGGTACCGGGCACCCCAGCACAAAGTGGTTAACATTGGGTTCAACAGCCCTTGAAAGCTTCAGTACAAAGCATGTGCCGGTGGAAGATTCAAAGGTAAAGGGGTTTAGGGTTAAAGATGAAGAACTTATATTATTTTCCAGATACCCCGCAGTTTGTTACTTTATGTCTGCAGGATGGGTCTGTTTTGCTGTGGGATTTGAGGAAGCCCAAACCAGCTCGAAGGCTGAGTAGACCCGAAGGGACATCGCTGCCAACGTGTCTGGCATGGAAGCCAGGAGAGACACATGTCTTGGCTTCTGGTAAGGAGACAGATCACTGATGTAATACTCTGCAATTCTGGTTGAATTAACAAGGCTGCACATGCGCCTGAAGCAGTACTCGTTGGCAAATGTGTCTTATTCATGAGGTAACTCTTTAATGGTTGCAAAGCAAGGCTTGGTTTTATCGAAGGTCAGAAACCTGAAGCCACGCTCTCATTTCTAATGGGTGGCCCGCTGCGTGACAAAATTTTCCAGCCCGAAGAGGCTTTAAGGACAGCCAAACTAGTGACACATATCTGCAACCAAATGTGTGTCACCTGTTTTATGCACAATTACTACTCAAAGGGGATGAGACAGGCAAGATATTGCTCCAGGATTCCCGAGCGGACAACACCGGAACCAGACTAACTACAGCCCACACCAGGTCCATTCACAGACTAGCATTCTCTGCCAAGAAGTGAGTATAACATATTGGGCATAATTCAGCTTCACTTGGAGATAGCTGAACACTTTGGAGCAGACGGGCAGGGCTTAAGCACTTGGCAAGTGCTCCACATCATCAAAAAATGCGGACAATGATCACTTTCTGCCTGTTTGTTTCATGCAGATCCAAATCGTAATCAGTGGTTCAACATTGGTTCACTGACACCAGAACTTGCCTTCCGAATGGAGCGAACCGGCGTTGAAATCACTGATCCAGATCCAGATCATTGTGAAACAAACAGACACTTTATTGCTGGTGTAGAAATCACCCGTCATCGTTATTGGTTGTGTAAACAGGGCTACATGGAATTGCCTTCTAGTGGTAGAAAAATAAATGTGACCGGCTCTAGAAAAATGGGTAATAAGTCACCAGATTCAGGATATCAGTTTTAGATATGGCTGGATTGAGAACACCAAAAGCTACAATTTGAGTTATGAATGACCCCTGTAGTGCACTGCGTTCCCGAGATATTTAGACATTTGTATATCAACATTTTGGGATTCAATAAAAGCACTTTTTGAGAAAAAGCTCAGAAAGTGTAGCACTTGGAAACACAATGCTATGTAGGATTTCCCTCTGAATGATCAATTTTTCATCTTTATTCATCAGTATCCATGTTTGTTGAACAATAGAACAGGCCATAAAATGTTTTGGAATTGCATGACTTATTACCCTTTTTTGCAGAGATGTTACCATTAAGCAGGGTCACCTAAGTGTTGCGATTCTGTTGAATATAGCAACTCAGTAGCTTCACAGAATTGGAGCTGCTCGTGCAGAGTTCAGAGTACAAGTTTTATTTAACACATTCAAGCTACTACCAAACCTAGTGCTCTGAAGAACTTGAGTTCTGAGTTTCATGTTCTCTCTTTTGAGGTGTACAAATGGTAATTTGATTTTCCGTTGTGTTGTATTAATGCAGCCCACTGTGGCTGGCCTCCACAGCCGATGACTGCACGGTAGCTGTCACTGAATTGCAGCCGGAACTTAAACAAGTGTAAGTTTATGCTTCAAATGAAAACAGCTGTTTTTCTTTAACGCCGGCATGTTCAAAACAAAATGTCACACTTGGTTTCCAGTTTAGAGAGTTGTATCCGCTCTGTTCTTCATTTTCTCTTTAAAATGATATCGACAACTCATCTCACTGCACCCCATTTTCAGGATATAATTCTGAAGTAATGTACTGTTTTTGTTTTTGTTGGCTTCTTTGTTTTTTATTTTAACGTGAGTTATTTTGGTTTAAATTTTGCAGATACCGCAGTTACAGCCATAACGATTTTGTACGAGGTGCATCGTGGGATCCCCTTAGCAACAAGCTGATGACCTGTGGCTGGGACAGGCAGGTCAAAGGTCATGACATTTTGCCAGGGGCAACAGGGAGCAATGAGAGAATGTGAAAAGCTTCCAAGTTATTTATTAGAAGAGAAAAACTTTGAAAATATGGTATTCTGTAAATCTTCGATCATATTGTAATATCCAAATCTTGACATCTTGAGTGTACTACATCAGCTATATAGTTACTGTATTTTGGAACATCTTCAACTTACCTCCCCCCCGCAAAAGCAAGTTTGGAGTGATAAGAATTTATGTTTGGGCTGATAGTAAACAATTGCAGGCATTAACCACTCGGTGCCGGGGTACCGGAGACCTCGGGTTTGTATGCATAGCCAGGGTGCCCGAAATCGGCAAAGGAGCTAAGCCTTGTAACCAAAGACCGTACTCAGAACAAACGACCAAGCTACTGCGACATTGCTATCATTTTTCAGTTGGCATTAGCGGAGGTAATCCGTCATTGTTTTGAAACAGTATACCACAGTTTGCGGCATTCAGTGCCCGCGGATTATCAGCGCGGACAAAAGTGCTCCAGCAATCCAGCGATGAGCAATACAGTACCGCTGCACGCTAATCCGGCTGCATTTGAAAAGAGGCCCCTGTCATTCAGCAATGCACTGGGCCAATATCGGGAACAAAGGAAATTATGCAACACCGCAAAATCTGGGTCGTCTTTACTGGGTGGCAGGCCTTGCTTCAATACTTGGCCGTGAATGGAGGTTACCTGTCTGATTAGAGTAGCCACCAGACAGTCATTCATGTGGGTGTAAGCTTCCAGTAAATGAAGTTATGAATTTGTGAAGAATTTTGACAGAAAAAATCTAAGAAGTGAAATACTGCTGAAATTCTTGTTAAACTCGAGAAACTGCTGAATTATGAATAGATACACATGTTCTCTTATTTTTTCACTCGTGCAGTCTTCATCATATTTTGCAAACTGATTGCGACATCCACCATTAAGGAAGGTCGGAAAAGATCTGGAAAGTGCCATCATCTTGAAAATCACCCGGGCACTCATCCTGCATATGCAAATTCTGTTTGATTTTGAAACCATTTTTGAGTGGATGAACTCGTTTCGTTGTGCTTGGGCACATCCGTCGTGCCCTTCCTTGAAGACTTGCCACTTCCTCCTGCGAGGTAGAATGACCCCAACCGTGGGATTGGTGATTGTCGGGGTTAATGTGTGCCTTTGAAAGTTAAAGTCGTACTGCAGTTGGTGTACGAACTGGCCACAATTGTGTGCACAAATGAAAGTTATGAACTTTAATGAAAAGTGGTACAAACTATGACAACAGTGGCACATTCCAGATCTTTTCCGACCTTCCTTAATGGTGGATGTCGCAATCAGTATGCAAAATATGATGAAGATTGCACGAGTGAAAAAATAAGAGTACATGTGTATCAATTCATAATTCAGCCATTTCTCCAGTTTAACAAGAATTTCAACAGTATTTCACTTCTTAGATTTTTTCTGTCAAGTTTGTAGCCCTGTGCCTAGGCCTAGAGTCCAGCCTGTTAAAAATTTAAGTGGTCCCTTTTCTGTATGTGTTGCAAGTGTATAGCTATCCCTGCCTCAGTAAACATGTGTGGTATTTCATTATCTCCAGACTGAGTACTTGTCCAGATTTTTGGCTGACTTAAACCCTCTTTTTTCGTGTGTCTTGGCGTGTTTTCAGCTGCGATGTCCAGAACGTGTCGAATTCTGGGCTTAAATTCCGAGATACAGGCACTAACAGCTGACGACTCTGGTTAAAATCCATTCCCAAAAGAAGTGAGTTCCCCCCAAAATAAGCGCATGCTGAACATGAAATGCGTCCGAGGCTGATCGGATGCATGTGTGAGGTCTGTCCTATTGGCGTGGCCCTATGTGGATTTGCCTGCACGCTTTGTTCCCGAAGAAACTTGGATTTTGGAAATACCTGTACCAAACTGGCTTGTTACCATGCTTTTCTGAGGCTCTGAACTTTCATTGCTATCACTGCACACGCAACAAATATCAAAGGAGCCCTCAGTACATGGTTTCTCACTTTCCTAGCAACAGATGAACAAACGATAGATTTAAAAATTCAAATATGCCCGAAGACCTCAAAATGTCTTGGCGTTTAATTGGTTAAAGCATAGTCATGTGACTTAGATTCAAACAAGCAATTGGTTAATCCTTGGTCTACATTCAACTTGAGCAAGCTATTCCTCGGAAGACAGGCAGAGGTAATCGTGGCAACAACTTGGAAAATCTGACTCAAATTCATTTGCATTCAGTTCGAATTTCCACCCCAAGAAATCTTAATTTCAAAGCTACTTCCGGTCCTACCTTAACCTGTAATATTCAGAATACTTAAAAACATCAAGGAATCCAATGAAATATCATTAAATCTGAGCTAAGTTCCTCTTCAACTTTTTAACATTTTTCTAAATATGTACAATGTAGTCCTCTTTCTTCAATTTGGAAGACAGTCCCGTCATTCAGTGGAAAAATACTACATTCAATTCAGACAAAAAAAACTATCAATGGTGCACTACAATACCATACTCCTTTCAAGAGGAAGCTAAATTCATGATTAATCCTAATATTTTTGAAGCATCAAGAAAATATAATGTACTCTCTTTTGATTTAGTCCTTTATTCTGCGGTTTAATACTTCAGGATGTAAGAGAAACGCTTCAAAACTTTTAAATTATTTCTCTAAAATTCATCCATCTACAACTAAAATCTAGACAGAATATTCACTGGACCAACACCGTACTCTGCTATACAAAGTGGCAATACAAAGTAGGTACAAGAGTTGTGATTGGCAGATACACATCAAAAACTGCCCTTGGTAGCCAATAACTGTTGAGCTTTGTTTAAAAAGTAATACTTCTGTGAAAGGCAGGAAAAGTAAATCAGAGCATCTTGGGCATTTAATGTGGAGAGCGTGTGAACACACACACACAAGTAATTTGTAATTTTGCCACTGGAAAGATGATTTCTTTCCTATTTACACAATTTTACTGATTTCAAGAAATCAAGTAGTCCCTACACCCTAAAGGAGAAATTTAAACCACGAACAAAAATCCCATACTGCCCACACAGAAAGAAAACTATTAATCAGTCAACCGCATTAAAATTTCATTAGAAAGTTGAGCAGACTGTGCCTTGATGGATTTCATAGTTTTGAAAGAGTTAATCAGTTTGAGAGGTTTTTTTAATCCAAGTTGTTCCACGATTGCCACTAACCAATGATCCGGTTTGAGGGAGAGTTAGGCTTGGTACCCAAACTCCCTTGCATCATCTTCAGTGATGTCACCATAACGCCACAGGTTCAGCTGTAAAAAAACAGGAAAAAAAAGGGGGGGACTGTTATTTCAAATCAAACATTGCCGGTCATCCGGGGTCTATTGATTCAGAGATTGCAAGGGCAGCAGAGACGAGACATCCAAGAGAAGTCGGAGAAATCCAAGGAAAAAGGGGTCCCTGGATCTCTTAGAGAGGAAAATACGCCGATTCTAGGTCCTCAAAAAATGTTATTGCGAGTAGAAAACACACTGCTACACCTGAATGTAAAACCGTAACAGTCCAAAATCCTTCACCTGTTGAAGTAACCAGTGGCAAGTTGCCGTTGCACAACTTAAAATGATAACTGGTCAACTTATGGCTTCAGTTTGACTGACAGGAGTACTTAATTGATTGGTGTAGATGATCTACTTCCATGGGTGTGATTTTTACAGGTTGACCAGTGTGAGAATGACTACCCCAATGCTAAACAACCAACTTCATTTCCTAAAGACTTTAGAAATCTCGCCCAACAGTCTCCATGGCCTTGGACAATTGAAAACTCAATTTCACAGTCAACATAGACCCATTGTAATCAATCGAGCAATGAGGAACCTGGTCATGGATGCCAAAGAAGCATCCGCGACCTCAAAAAGTTTGCCGTCTTCATGTTGATGTCCCTGACTTACGTGAGCCTTAAGGGCGCTCTGCTGAGCCAGTACGTACTCGGCCACCATCTTCTGCAGGCGCTTCTCCCGACGCTGCTCGGCCAACAGGAAGCCCTCGCTCACCAGCCCCTTGCCCACGTCCTCCTTGGAGTCCGGAATGAGGAGGGTGACGTACTCGGCGCTGCCCACGCGGTACTCGGTGTTGTACAGGAGCTGGGCGTTGAGGATGTCACGCTTGACCGCCTCCAACGCCTCCTGCTTAAACTCGTCCTGTGAAAGGAGAGGGACTTAGTTTAATATTTGATAATCTTAGAAAGCTGCTTGCAACTCACCAAGATGGGGTCTGTTGATGCAAGATCCATGGCCAAATTGGAGATTTGCTGACAAGCAGATGTACAAGGCCGGGTCCAAATTACTTGGCTGGGGCTTACAATTACATACATCTCAACAGGAAGTGACTGTATCCACTGTCATAGCCTCATGCATAATTTCAAACCACAGCCAAGTAACTTGTGCTCCAACCTTGGACTTACTGGATGGCTAATAGCTAGTGAAATCAAATCGCAATGAAACTCACATCTTTAGGCAGCGTAACACACGCCAAGTGGAAGTGGCGGGCCTGCGGCTGTTGTGTGTGGTACCCCGGCGGCATGGCACCGATGTTGGCAGATGTCACAAAGTCGGACTGATGGAGAAACAACAAAAAGATTCATTTCACAAGATTCAAAGCCTGGGTTGTTCAAGGAAGTATCCACATGCATAAAGTTCCATGGCAGGAGGCTCGAGTATATGCTCAGAGAAAGCACTGTTCTTCCAGCATTACAATGGTGCGAGGTAAACAAAAGTTGTGGAAACCTGAAGGATTCTGGGCTGTCGCAGTCAACATGTACATCGTAACCCTGTCGCAAAGGACACCCATCAAGTCTGTCTCGAGGAATACAGAGCGGTAATTACAATTTACTGCTGTAGCTAGGGCAGCAGTTTTCACGTGTAACTGTTCGGAGATGATATATGAATTTAAATCTTTTAGATAAAGAATTAGGGGGCATTTACAATTTCCTGAAATTTGCAAGAAAACAATTGTCCAGAGAGATGTACACATGCATGACCAAACAATACAGTCACTCACATTTCCATAGTCCAGGAAGAAGACGAGGCTCTTGTCCTTATTGTAGACCTTCTCCACTCGGGCTCGGTACCACTCACCGTCGACAAACTTGGCGACGCACATGTCTCCTTTCTTAGGGGAGAACGACCCCGGGAGGGGAGGAGCTTCTAGAATCTCAGCCCGGAGTTGCTCCATGAACTTCTCAAACTGGGGGCCTGAAAGAAAAAAAAAAAAAACACCCAGGAGTGAAAATACCGTGTTGTGAATATACAGATGGTGAAAACTTAACCCTAAATCCCTTGGTTGCTGGCCGGGATCCTTCAAAATACAACACCGTGTAAGAATTGAATTGCAAATCGTCCTTCAAACTTTCAGGGGCATCAAGTCCCACACTGAGTCATTTTGTAGGTAGAGTTAGAATTAGGATACATCACATCTTCTTAGCACACACTGCTTAAACACACACAGAATCTGAAAACTGGTTTGCATTTTCTTAAGCTGACGTATATGGCCCGACAGAAATGGTCTCGAGTTAAATATACTGGATTCCTCAGGAACATATGAAGAGAGAGATTAGTCTTTGAATCGGACATAAACAAAGTCTTAAATTACCCTTGCTTACAATGTCTAATTTCATTTCAGTGAAAAAAAAAGAAAATAAAATATGACGTGGAAATACTCTAAATCCCGAACAAACTGAAGAAGCAGTGACTCACCAGACTCAACGAGTTGAGCATAGAAGTCCAGTTCATTGCCGATTTCAGTAACAATGATGCGTTTGTAATTAGTCTTGCGCTCTGCTGTCTCCTCGACAGTAACCAATGTCTTGGGCTCCTCGTACTTCTCCCAAACCTGTCCACGATTGGAACCGACATGAGCAAAATACAGGGCTAAATTAACTGTGCTACATGTATATTGACACTTGGCACCAGCACTTACCTTCCTTAGTTTGAGAATTCAAAGAGAGACACCAAAGCTTTGAACAAAAAAACTATGGTATTTTTGTAGGTCTTTGAACTTTTCATGAACTCCAGGCACAGGGTCTGCTGTGCCTCTTACGTGATCCGGCCCAGGCAAAGTGACTTGCATAATGATGAATTTCCAAAGTTAGAAAGCACAGATGTTTTGGATGGTAAACCTTTTCTTCGCTGAGTAATGCTGTTTGCATGTAAGGCTTATGTTGATTTGTACACATTTGTCAAAGTGGTCTCGCTTCAGCTGCATCCAAATTTATTGGCTTTGGCTGGCAAAAACATGCAAGCCTATGAGAAATGGCTTAGTTGCTGGCTAGCTATGTCCATGGGTATGCAGCCATAGCCAAGTAAATCGGACGCTGCCCGCCTTCTTGTGAGGGGACCTGAGCAAACCCACCTTCAGCTTAGCTGTCTTAGCCTTCTCTTCAGCCGCTTGAATGGGGCGAGCGTAGTTGCTGCGCTCGGCCGTGAAGTGCATCTTGGACAGGCCCTGCTCGACCAGCGCGACGGACAGGTTGACACCCTCCACAAACAGCCAGCCGATGAAGTTGCCAGCTTTGTCGATGGACTCCACTTCCACCTCAACCTGTGGGGCAATGAAGCAGGGCCTCAAACAATAGTGAGAGGGAATTGTGTCTGATTTTTCTGCTGGAAAAAATTCTCATGGTTACATCTGGATTTAAACAGTGAGTGTTGTTGTTTGATTTATGGACATCTCTAAAGGTGATGAGGGCATATGCCATCGGAGCAAAACCAGGCCTGCATCTGAGAATTCAGGGAAGAGGGTAGGAAATTCCAAACCATACAAGCAAATAGACATTGTTTTTCAAATTGTGTGGCAAATGTAAAAAGCACACACTGAGGAAATCAAATGATCTGGTGACAGTTAGAAACCAGTCGAGTTTAATATCTAAGAATTCTGGCCATTTCCTGTTACTCTGAAAAAGAATCTCAGTTGATCAAAAATTCAAAGAAATTCTGTTCATGAATGTATCAACTCAACAGCCTCATGTTAAAAGTTCCACCAATTTGAGTGGATGGTGTTATGCCAACGACAATGTTGGTTCTCTGTTTTACCTCTCTCTGCAGAACCAGCTCCTTGGTATACTGCAAGGCTTCCTCAGAGAATGGTTCGGATTCTGTCGGGCCCCCCGGTCCAGTCCGAGCCATCTTGGGGCAAGTTATCCCTGCAAATTACAAACGAAATGGAGGAGCGTTGACTTGAGAGGGTCTTTAGTGGGAGAGATGTGGCAGCTTAGCTCGGTTCAAGTAATATTAGCAACTGCAGGTATTGTGGGAGTTGGGGAGTCTGGTTGGCATTGTGGTTCTTTCCTCGCTTTTCACCTCTGCGGTCCGGGTTCGATTCCCTGGCTCGGTCCACATGTGGATTGCGTTTTCAGTCCCTACCTGATTCCGTGCATTTATACCCAGAAAAGTCCTCTGGGGTTTTCTTCCCACCTCGAAAACTGTTACTGCTTCTTCTTCTGTTACAGGTTTCTGGAGGCTGGCAAGCTACAGTACCGAGGGTGCTTTTGAGGAATCATTGATGTCATTACCAGAAATGCTTGACAATAATGATAACAGTAAAGGTTCATTCAGATTCAACCTCACATCTGAAGCATTCTTGCTAAAAATCTTCGGAAATCTTTCGAATTCAACAAACATCCAGCAAACCTGAGGAGCATCAAGACTCTCATACATGGGCACCACAAGAATGTTTTTTTTTGACTCACCAGCTAAGAGGAATGTAATCA